GTCAACAGCCTACCTTCCTGGCATACAAAACTCGATGCAGACAGTCTCTGTCATAAGTTCCCACATGACCATGAATGGGAGATAAACCCAGTGGTGCTTCATGACCTATTCAGGCAGTGGGGTACACAGACCACAAACCTGTTCACCACTTCCCTGAGCAGGAAATGTCCACACTACTTCTCCAAAGCAGGGATAATAAAGCACTCTCTGGGTGACTCTCTCCTCCTTCCGTGGGACAAGGACCTTCTCTATGCTTTTTCCCCATTTCCCCTACTGTCAAAAGTCCTATTGAAAATAAAAAGAGAAGGAGCACATGTCATACTGATTGCTCCCACCTGGCCAAGACAGACTTGGTACCTGTGACAAGGTTGAGACTCACCACCACAGTGCCTCCTGCCGGTGACTCCGGGAATTAGCTCAGTCCAGTGGAGCGCCCCCTCCTGGTGGTGTCCCGTCTGTCGTCTCGCCCTCGGTTGGCATGTGGGCCCGCGTTGCTCCCAACTTGCGGCGTCCTCTTTGAACCACTGCCCTCTGGCAGTGCCCCTTAGTCCATCCTTGCCCCCTTCCGGGGGGGGGGGGGCGGGGGTCAATCAGCTGTGTCTCTGCGCCCCAGCCAATGTGGGCAACTGCACCTCCAAAGTCACACCCCTCTTGGCAGGGGGTTGGTGCAGCCCACTCCCGTTGGCCAGGTGTAAGGGAAGGGGTGGACCCAGGCCCGCCCACTACTCTGGGTCCCAACCCAGGGACCCTCTAGTGGCAGCCGTCCTGCCCTCCTCCTCTCCCTCCATCTGTCCATGTCCCTGGGCTGCTTCCCCTTTGGCCCCTCGCACCAGCTAGGCCTTTCCCTTCAAGGTCTGCAGCCTGACAGACACCAGGCTGGAGTTCCTTTCTGCTCCCCCGGGCCTGCCCAGCATGTGTTGTCCCTGGTGCTGGTCTCTCCACTCTGGAGACAGACCTTCCCCTCTCAAAGGCTGGGGGTAGACTGCCTGCTCCCTCCCTGAGCAGCCTTTTTATAGGGCTGAGCCTGGCCCTGATTGGCTGCCTCCAATCTGGGCTCTGATTGGCTCCCAATAAGCCCTTCTCTGATTGGCTGTCCGTCTGCGCAGGCCCACTGGCCTGCTGCAGCCTAAATTCTCAGGGAGTGAGGCAGCCACCCCACTACAGTACCCTTATCTGTCACAACTCGTGATGTGCTCGACGATCTCTCTCCAATCCACTCCATACCTCCTCTTTAAGAACAAAGGACGCACTCATCCCAACCTGGGGATTCTCCACCTCAAAGCTTGTCTCCTTCATGGTTCCAACGCATAGAAAGCTCCTGCTCGGAGGAGGTACAAGAGGAATTACTACACAGTAGAAAATCCATGACACACCGTATGTACCTGTAAAGGTATTCCAGGTTTCAGACTTGATGTAGTTCCCAACAAATTTCTCTTACATCCGCTACTCTTCCAAAGATCCTAGACTATGTATGGACTCTTAAAAATCCGGACAATCTTTCAGTTCACTCAGGGTTCACCTACTGGCTATAGCAGCCTTTCGCCTACATGTAGGCGGGTACTCAGTGCTATCAAACCTAACCACAAAATGTTTCCCTTGGGGTATAGTAAACCTTTTTCCACAACCCCAACATACCACCCTTACGTGGGATCTAAATCTAGTGTTGAAAAGCCTGATTAGACCTCCCTTCGAACCCGTGGTGGCCTGTTTGCTTACGTACGTGTCAATGAAAACTGCCTTGCTGGTGGCAATCATCTTGGCTAGGAGAATAGGGCAAATAGCAGTTCTGATGGCATATCCCCCCTACACAGTATTCTTTTGGGACAAGTTCACACTCAGACCACACCCGAAGTTCAAACCCTAGCTGACTTCCCCTTTTCATGTAAACCAACTGATCCACCTTTTTAGTTTTTACCCTAAGCTTCACCGTGATTACAGGGAGGCTATGCTACATGTGTTAGGCCTTAGGTGAGCTCTGGCCTTTATCTGGATAGGACGAAAGCTCTTAGGAAGTCTCCCAAGCTTTTCCTTTCTATTTCAAAAAGATCCAAGGGCTCAGCAGTATCAGCCCAGAGGCTCTCCAAATGGGTCTCGAACAGCATTAAGCAATGTTATCAGGTTTGCAACATAACATCTCCAGCTGGTATTCGTGCACACTCCACAAGGTCAATCTCCATATCCGTCATCTTCCTCAAGAATGTCCTTATCTCAGAAATCTGTTGAACGATGACTTGGGTGTCAGTCTATACCTTCGTAGAACATTAGGCGATCAGTGGGGACTCTGCCTCTGATTCAATCTTTTGCTCCAGAGAATTGTCATCTGTAACTGACCCAACTCTGAACCTCCAGCCCTTCAGTGGGGATACTGCTTGGGAGTCACCTACAGTGGAGCACCCATTGGGACACTACTCAAAGAAGCTACTGACCTTGTGCAGTAATGATGATTCTTCAAGATGTGTGTCCCTATGGGTGCTCCACAGCCCACCCACCTCCGTTGGCGGGGCGCAAGGAGGGACAGCGCACGTGCGGGACTAACAGACGCTGCTACCAAAGTTCTTTGATCAGCAGTGCAGGGACCCAAGCATACCTATAGTGGAGCACCCATAGGGGGACATATCTCGAAGAACCATCGTTACTGCACAAGGTGAGTAAATTCTTGCTTCCTGACTTCTTGGAATGTGCGCTTTTTGTGTCTCACTCATTCCCATGCAGTTCAGCAACAATTTCCTTGTTTGAGAGATGCTAAACTACCTTCTATATGAAAGACTTTGCTATATAGTAATTTTCAGCTATTCTTTGTCTGTTAATGTAAGTTCTTTATGGTTTCTCAAATAAAAGCTGTGTATGGCACTTTGAAAGTGAGTATAGGTGTTTAATGATTTGAAAATATTTGGTGGTCCCGCTTTCCTTTAAGTATTGATTTTTATTTTTTTTTAAACTGAGTTTTTATATCTTTGATACTAATAGTTGAGCAGGCTAAAACTTAAACATGTAATAGATTTGTGAACAAGTGATATGCCTGCAGAAAGATAAATTGTACTAGTATAATTCTCAGGCAAGTACACATACTAAAATAAACATTAATTAGTAATCCTTACCATCTCTTTCGTAGTGGGCAACATAGCAAAATCACACTGAGCTATGAGATCTGTAAATCCTGTGGTGTGGTAGAAGCACTATCAATGCACATGAAAGTGTCTGAGGTTGCTGATCCTCCCTATAGTTAGACTGTTTATTTGCTTACATGCAATGTGCTTGATCTTGTGTCCATTGGTGTCAATAGTAAAACTCCTGTTGCTTTTAGTGGTGCAGGATCAGGCATATACTGGGTTCTGGGCAGGGCTGGCTCCAGGGTTTTTGCTGCCCCAAGCAGCGAGGGGGGAAAAAAAAAAAAAAAGCCGCGATCGGTGGCAGCTCCACTGCGCCGCTTTCTTCTTCGGCGGCAGGTCCTTCCCTCCGAGAGGGCCAGGGACCCTCCGCCGAATTGCCGCCGAAGAGCCCGACGTGCCACCCCTTCCCCTTGGCCGCCCCAAGCACCTGCTTGCTCAGCTGGTGCCTAGAGCTGGCCCTGGTTCTGGGAGTTGACAATGAATATTGATTTAGCCTAATTTTATAACTGTATTGTCATTCCTAAACCTAAACAAAAATAAATGTAAATCATAAATGAAAGGCAGGATACTGGATGTGTAATTCACACAATGAAAGATTTTTAGGTGTTTGTTAGTTGAGTTGAATAACAAAGAAATTAAAAGTAAAAGGCCTGAGTCACCAAAAAAGTCCACATGGAACTACTGTACTTCTAAGAGAGTTTATCTTTTTCCAGTGTGAATTTACTGAAGTACATATCATAAAACAAGCAAGCTTAGAAAATAAAAGACGTTAGTGTAAGAAGACTAATTCAAAATCACTCATTTGCAAATACCTTTTTCAAAATGCCCAAACTGGACACCATTATTTTCACAATAGTACACCTTAATTGCCAGTTAATGTAAGGTTGTGAAAAAGTCTTGTTTCCATATTTTAATATAAACATTATGAAAGGATTGATTTATAAAGCTCTTTATTTGTGTAGTACTGCCTTTTTAATTACTGTGTTATTTCAAGTGTATAAATTCTCAGTTGATCATAAGAAAGTTGATTGTCTTATGTCTCCATGCTGTTCCCTCTCCATTTATCATAATTTTTTGTGTGTGATTCAAACTCCAGTTTGCTCAACTATCATCTCTTTAAAACAACTACACTTAAAACTAAACATAAGGGTTTTAGACTTATTTTCAGTTTCCTGTTTCCAACACTAAATTTGAATAAAAATGTAACTGTTTTGTGTAAGCATACTTTTGAAGAAAAATGCAGAAGGCCTTTGAATGCAAATGTTAGTTGGTTTTATTCACGATCTATAAATAGCTTTGAAAGCATAACAGAAACTTTGTGCTGTGACGCAGTAGAGCTAATAAAACTGAAAATAATGAATCAAGGAAAAAATGGTGCTTTTGTTTCATTATATGAGAGGTAATCTCTTCAGACATCTACATAAACTGGATTACTGGATGCTGGATTACTAAACTCCAGTAGGCAGCTTTTAGAGAGACAAGAGAAATGTAGGGCAGTTTTCTTACAGCTAAAGCCTAGATTTGCTCAAGTCCCTGATATGTGCCTATAAGAGAAATGAAAAACTTATTTTGTTCATCTGACTCTTGATTAAACTGTTGCTGCTTTACAGAGAATGTTTTTATACTTGGAAACACAAAAGGTAGTTTTCATTTTGAGAGTTGGAAATAGTTACTGATGGGATATATATGTCAACCCTGAATCAAAGGTGTCAAGGGAAATTTTTAAGCTTCTTTATTTAAAACAATATTTCTGTGATGACCTTACTTGCAGAAGGCATACTGAAGTACCTATTTAAAGCCACCATGTTCATACACTTCAACCCTAAATTTCTAAACTAAGAAAATGGAAATCTGTCAGTCACGTGAACAGTTCTTATAATTTTGTTTCAGGCCCAGTTTGGGACTTTATCAGATTATTTTGAGGCTCTGCGCAAAGCAGGTAATTTGGAGGAAAAGAACAGCAATTCAGTTTTTCCTGTTCTGAGTGGAGATTTCTTCACATATGCAGACAGAGATAATCATTATTGGAGTGGATACTTTACATCACGACCCTTCTACAAAAGACTAGATAGAGTTCTGGAATCCTATTTAAGGTAGGTATTGTCATCTGATACATGTATCGTGTAAATGTTTGTTTGTCTAATACTGCAAAGATATCAAATGTCCTTTTCAAATAAACTCTGAAGCTTATTTTCATTATACTATAGTTAAGGTTCATATTTCACTAGGAAAAATATAACTGACATCAACATTTAGACTTTGTCATAATCTGTGTAGAAGAAGAAATATGGCTGTGGCATTTTAATGGACTCACAAATATATGGGATATTTGTCAATCTAAACAGTTTTTTGTAAAAAGTTCCACCTATAACTTAATTGTTTTAAGATACCATGGAAGTTACCAGTCACTTTGGATACCATGAAACTAGCAAATGTATTCTTGATCCTTGTCTTTGTAGATGGGACTTGAATAATTACGTTGATTGCTGTCAGATGATCTATCATTTTCTGGAATGCTTGGCTTTTTGGGCAGGGAGATGAAAGGAATGAATTTTGCCAGGACATTCAAATCTGAAGTAGTCAAGGGTATTTGTGTGCCCAGTGAAGTTATGAGAGCTCTTTGGAATCTCCTTAAAATGAGGCAGGGAGTACTTGAGGACCTGTATCATTAGTCAGGTACTTCTCTTTGGCAGTTCCTTGGCTGTTCCCAATAGCTACAAGGGGCACTGAAAGCAGAACTAGTTGCAATTTAGGGCTCTGTGATGGGGTGTTTACCCCACACTTGCCCTGAAAAAGTTAATGCAGATTGAGAAGATGGCTAATTAGTATGATAGACCAGTGCTGAGGGGAAATGAGGTGGCTAAGTAATCCCATGACTGAGTGAGGGGAGCCCAGCTGAGGAGCAAGGAGCTTGGCTGGATTTATGAAGCCAAGAAATTGGAAGCAGAGGGGGACTGCTGGGAAAGTCTGCAGTTGCTCCCTGGGAGAAGGGAGGAGTGTTGAGAGGCTGCAGAGACAGGTACCCTACAGTTACTCCCTGGTAGGAGGCAGTTGGGGGGCTGACAAACTCAGGGTTTGTGGGGGGAGTGCTAGATAGTAAGGAAAGAGCTCAGGGAAAGGCAGTAAAGTCTAGAAGGGAACAGACCTTGGCTGCTGACTTAGATGGTCCCTGAGTAGAGGGTGGGCTCAGGTTCCTCTGCCAGCCACTGAGAGAGTGGCACCATGGGCTGAAAACTGCCTGAGACTGCTAGTGTGGAGAGAGACTTTGAAAAACGTTGGTACCCTGGGAGGGAGGATCATAGTGACCTGGCTGAAGAGCCAAGTCATGAAGAGGAAGCTGCAGCTCCTGGGGTGAGAGGGGCCTCCGGGGTGAGGACTGGTGAAGAGACTGTGAGAGGAGGGCTCAGCACCTTAAAAGAGCTAATCTCCAGAGCGAGTAGGGGGAAGAGCCACCTGTGGACCATCGCAGGTGCTGAAAGGATTGATTTTTGGATTGGCACATACCTTCTGAATCCTGTTGGCTTCTATCTGAACCCTGCTTCCAAAAAGTCTACTGCTCAGAAGACATCTTGGCTTCTAGAAGGGCCATTTTGGGGGTTATCTTTCAGGGGTTTCAGGATCTCAGTTACACCGCTTCTGAATAGAGAAGAACTTGCATAATGGGGGGTGACCGTGGCCATCTTGAAGGAAGCATCTCACAGGGCTTTGCAGGTTGTAATGGCTGCTGCCACATTCAGAAGGAACATCTTGATGATGATGTAAATAGTATTGCAGAGGAAAGTGTGATTCTCTTCCAGAAGGGGTGCCATTTGTTCAAAGGTAGAATTCTCAGGAACCAAGCCTTTGCAGTCTAGAATGTTTGGTTCAACAGTCCTGATGCAGGAACCCTGGAAGCAACCTGGCTTGATAAGGTTTGAACTAGTAGACTCAGACTTTAAGGCCAGAAGGGATCATCCAGGCTGATGTCCTGCACATTGCAGGCCACAGAACCTCACCCACTCCATTTCTTTACAGTCTACCTCATCATTAATATACAATGCTATTCCACCACCTTTGCCTTTATTTCTGTCTTTCCTGAACAGAACTTACCCTTCAATACCTATACTCCAGTCATGACTACTATTCCATCATGTTTGTTATCCCTATAATATCTGGTTTCACTTCCTGCACCAGTAGTTTTAGTTCCTCCATTTTGTTACCCAGGCTCCTTGCATTGGTGTATAATCATCATAATTGTTCCTGCTTGGCTTCATCCACATTCCTCCCTTGATTGGCTACAGTCATTCTACTGCCAGTGTCTCCTCTCTGATGGGCATCAGCACTATCCTTCCTCTTAATGTCCATTCTTCTAACCAGTACTGTTCCTTTCTCCATTGCTGTATCCTTTCTTACTTGATTTTCCTGTCTCTTAATGTTAAAATCAGGCATAGAGATTACATGAGTATCTCCCAACAGTTTCACCTGAGTTCCTAGTTTAAAGCTCTTTTAATAAGTTGTGCCAACCTCCATCCCAGAAGTCTATTTCCCTCCCTACTCAGGTGGAGTCCATCCCATGAGGACTGTCCTCTGTCCATGCATGTTTCCCAGTGGACAAACATCCCAAAGCCCTCCTTATAGCACCATTGCCTGAGCCATCTATTGATCATCATAATCTTGTCTTGCCTTCTTTCTCCTCCTCTAGGGACAGGCAGAATCCCACTGAAGATCACTTGAGCCTCCATCTCCTTACACGTTTCCCAGCCTGGCATGGTCTCCCTAGATATGTTCCATCGAGAATCTAGCTGTGTCATTTGTTCCCATGTGAATGATAATCAGTGAATTCTTTTCTGCTCCCATTAGGATCCTCTTCAGCCTCAGATCCACATCCTGTATCTTAGCTCCCAGAAGACAACACACCCTTCTGTTCTCTGGGTCAGCTCTGGTGACAGGCCTGTCTCTTGTTCTTAGTAGGGAGTCTCCAGTCATGTAGACCTGCCTTTTCCTGATAATGGTGTGATTCTCTGGCCTTCCTCCTGTTCTTTTTGGCTGTGAGTCCTCTTGTCTTTTATTCTCCCTTGCAATCTTCTGCAAGTCATTCTGTAGCCTCCTGGGGCTCTGAACTCGGTATCTCCATTGGCTCTTCTCCTCTTCTTACAGGACTAGCTGCTCTTCTCTTCTTCCTTGCCCTCCCTCCTTCAGTTACAGTCTGCTGTGCCCCTTCATTTTCCAACTCACCAAATCTGTTCCTGAGCTCTATTTCTCCTTCACTAGCTGGTCTTTTTCTCTGCCTGGTTCTTGTAGTCACATGCTTCCACTGACCACTTTCCGTACCCAACCAAATTCTTCAGTCCAGCTTGCATCTGCAAGTCTTGACTCTTCCCTTCAGCCTTCTCTTGCCTTTGCTCCATCATCTGCTTGAGCCCCCTTCAAAGCTCAACCATAGTTTCCACCTGCATCTCCAACCCTTGGATCTTCTCTTCCATCAGCTCTATCAAGCAGCATTTCATACAAATGAAGCTCCTGTTAGGTACCCGCTGTAGGGTCATGTACATCCCTCAGCTTCCACATCCGGTCATCTTCATTGCCTCTTCCATGGCTTTGGCCAGTACCACTGCTGCCTCTGTACAGTAACTTCTCACTTAGGGTATGTCTACACGACGAAATTAGGTCGATTTTATAGAAGTTGATTTTTTAGAAATCGATTTTATACAGTAGATTGTGTGTGTCCCCACTAAGCTCATTAAGTCGACGGCATGCGTCCACAGTACCGAGGCTAACGTTGACTTTTGGAGCATTGCACTGTGGGTAGCTATCCCACAGTTCCCGCAGTCTCCGCCACCCATTAGAATTCTGGGTTGAGCTCCCAATACCTGATGGGGCAAAAACATTGTCGTGGGTGGTTTTGGCTACATGCCATCAGGCCCCCCTCCCTCCCTCCGTGAAAGCAACGGCAAACAATAATTTCTCACCTTTTTGCCTGGGATACCCGTGCAGACGACATGCCACGGCAAGCATGGAGCACACTCAGCTCACCGTCACCGTACGTCTCCTGGGTGCTGCTGGCAGATGTGGTACTGCATTGCTACACAGCAGCAGCTCCTGGCCTTCGCGGCAGCAGACGGTGCAGTACGACTGCTAGCCATCATCGTCGTCTCCTGGGTGCTCCTGGCTGACCTCGGTAGGGTCTGTCAGGGGCGCCTGGGCAGACATGGGTGCTCCTGGCAGATATCGGTGAGGTCTGTCAGGGGCGCCTGGACATAAATGGGAGTGACTCTTCTTTAAGTTTCGTCTCATGGAGATTCAGTCCTGCCTGGAATATCATGCGAGCTGGAGGCTTCTGCCTCAGGCTGCTCTTCCAGCCGGCAGCACCATGCAGTCGCGCCTACCCCTTGTTCCCATGGCTCGTGAAGCTGGACAGTAGTAAGGAGCAGTTCAACTATAGGCTGAGCAAGTGCAGAATGGTGGTAGAATGTGCCTTTGGACGTTTAAAAGCTCGCTGGCACTGTTTGCTGACTAGGCTGTTTGTGATTAGAAGAGCACAGCAAGGTGTGCTGCGTATCACAGAGGCTTTGAAAACCAGTTTCATGACTGGCCAGGCTTCGGTGTAACAGTTGTGTGTGTTTCTCCTTGATGCAAACCCGCTCCCTTTGTTGATTTTAATTCCCTGTAAGCCAACTCTGTAAGCCATGTCGTCAGTCGCCACTCGCTCCATGAGAGCAACGGCAGACAATCGTTTGGCACCTTTTCTTCCCGTGAAGATGCCATACCATGGCAAGCGTGCAGCCCGCTCAGCTCAGCCACCGCTGTTGTGTCCTGGGTGCTGCTGGTAGCAGACGGTGCAGTAGGACTGCAAACTGTCATCATCAAAAGACTGCTTCCGCTGCCACTCTGCTCTCCTGCTCGCCTGCAGACGCCATACCACGGCAAGCATGGAGCCTGCTCAGATCACCACGGCAGTTATGAGCACTGTAAACAACCACGCACATTATCCTGCAGTATATGCAGCACCAGAAACTTCAAAAGCAGGCGAGGAGGCGACGGCAGCGCGGTGACAAGAGTGATGAGGACATGGACACAGACTTCTCTCAAAGCACGGGCCCTGGCAATTTGGACA